GTAAAAGCACTAAGAGGTAAATGATTTCCCACAGCTGATATCACTCTAATGAACGTCTTGCTTGTTTAAGCAACAATCCTGATCAACCTCTTTGTCAGTTTATTGAGCTTAAATGCCAACATTTTACATTACTGCTTCCCAAATGTGTTGCATTTCTCTCAGTTTCACTCCTTTAGCCTCTGGATAACCGTGGTGCATTTTTATTATTATTATTATTATTTTTTATCCTTTTCTGATTCTAATCGACTAACTGAACAAAAGTAATGAAAATAACTGATAGCTGCATCCATAGTAGACTAAAAAAAACTAAGAAACACCCACATCCCAGGGCTGTTGCAACACTAAATGAATACTGAACAGCATATCTCAGTTTTTATTTTTTTTCTGCTACATGTACATTTTCGTGCCTTTATATCAATTTTTTTTTTGGTCACTTTAATCTTTATACATCTCTATTTTATAAGCCTCTTGACTTTTATCCTTGCACAAGTTTTGCTTCTTCTTTGCACTGAATACACCTGATTTTGTTGTACTTTTTGGATAATGACAATAAAGATTCTGATTCTAGCTCTTTATATTGTGATATGTTTTATTTCTGTTGCACTGTGACTTCATTCTTTTCTCTTTATTCTTAATTTCTCTCTTTAATTTTATTTTGTTGGTTTACATGCTACTTTTTGTGGCGTCTTTTTGTTAATTCCATCTTTTATGTCTCATATAAAAGCAGTTTGATTATAAAATGTCCTCTGATTGTACATATTAACCTCTCTTGCATTGAATTGTGGCCAATTTTGGTGCAATGTGTGACTGTTTTTTTCAAATTGTGAGCGCTGACATGCTATATAAATCACTTACAATCAAGTGCTGTTCAGAAATATTCCAGAAAATATCAGTATATCATGCAAAACAGGCTGAGGTAAATCCACCTGAGCAGTAACCTCTGACCTTTTCTAGAGGCTGTGCTGAGTATTTATCATTGTTTTCCAAACCCGCTGCTCTCAGGACCCAGACAGACCTTCTGCAGGTTACTGTTCACAGACTGTGTCAATCAGAGTTTCACTGAGGGGGCGAAAAAATACAATCAAACCTCTCCTGAGCACCTTTGGTCGGCACTTATCAGAGCAAACGATCCCAGCTGCTCCCAAAGCCTCTGTTCCCACAGATACCCAAAAACATCCGGAGTCGAGAAACACTCCGACCGTAAATCTGTCGGTAGCGATCGCTGTCCTCCACCCGGCATCCCGCAGAGTGCCGAGGAGAGACCTTATAGAAAGGATGAAGCATTAAGGACGGAGGAGAGGGCGCAATTTCAGTTTGGGGATTTTCTTTTTCCACTTTCTGATAACAAAAGATGATGTTAATCTCTACTTTTCCCTCCTCTTGTCTCCGTCTGGCTGCTCTCCTCCATCAGCCGGCTCTGGCTTTATCTCCTCATAAATAAGTTGAAAAGCTGAGAGTGTATTAAGTAAGAAATCCTGTAGAGTCACTCCTGTGTTTTATTTAAATATGAGGCCATATGCTAACATGACTGTACATTGCAGGTTCTTAAATTGCACAGACATTATGTTAATTATTTAATCCTTTTAAACATGTGTGACCTGATCAAGATGAAGGCATTTAGAGAAAAAAGCCTGACGTTGATTCAATCCACAGAAATCAATGATGTACTTTTGATTTCAGACAAACAGCAAATAACAGCTGAATGAACTGACTGTAGTGGTTCTATGATAGCGTTAGAATACCACAGAAGGGCTGCATTGTTAATGATAAAGGCATGATCACCTACTGTTTGCACTGCAGAGGTCTAATATTGAATCAATCAAATCAAATCAAGTTTATTGTCATTCTGCTGTACATACAATAGTACTACAGGCAAGATGAGAGAGAGTTTCTTCAGGATTCAGTAATAAACACGTGTTTGCATGTCTGGATCAGCAGCTCAGCGTTCTGACAGCTTGTGGAATGAAGCTGTTGATCATTCTGGAGGTTCTTAATATATTAGGCTCACTAATATTATGTTGTATAAAAAGTGTAATTTCCAACATTAATCCTCTCAATAAATGAGCTTTAGTGTCTTTTTTTCCTACACAAAGAGTCTTTTATTAACTGGATTATATTTGGATTGTGGAAATATCATTTGAACAAATAGAACTTTTATCCTTTAATTGGATCCACATTCATCTGATTATATCTAGAATTGTGACTTTGGGGTCTTTTTTTTTTTAATTTAAGGCACTTGTGCGCTAAATTAATGCATTTTTTTTAGTTCATTTAATCACAAAAAGTGACGATTATTCAGCAGTTTGTTACCTTTGATGGACAACAGTACTTATAAAGCTTTTACAGAACAGGTTCTTATTTATTTTAAAACAGCGCTCACATTTCAATGTGTACATGAACGGAATCACTGGCTGCACACACATTCTGTTTTAAAGTGATTTTCAGTGTTACTGATGAAACCTACAGTCTTCATTCTGTGTAAAATGGAACGCTGTCCTGTAACAATTTCTGTTTCAGCAGAATGTCTAAAAACTAAAATAAATAACTACTGAGCATGTTTTGTAAATGACTTTGTCAGGACTGACATGGCTGCTTCTGCTAGTAAATGTAGATTTAAAAATCTGATTTCCAGCTGATTATAAACAGGAGATAACTTTATTAAAAGACTGTATACCTGATTAAATTTACCATTTAACCCTTACATTCTGTTTCAGGTCAAATTTGACCCATTCTGATGTTTGACATCAGTAAAAATACCCTAAACGTCTTTTAGCATGAAATTTGCTGACTTTTCCTAAAGTGACCCAAAATACACAAAAATGAAAATATTTTTAAATGTTGTACTTTTGTCCAGGTGGTAAAAATGTTTGTACACTGAGGCTGTTTCAGGTCAAATCAAAATGGATTTTAGATCCACCAGTGTGGGTCAAATCAAGGAAAATGGTGGTTTTAGGGAATCTTGAAACTGTGAAGCTGTACAAACCACGTTTTATACGTATTTTTTATTTTCATTTATTAATGTGACATAGGCTATTTAGACGTTCTAAATAGATATGTAGTTTAAAATTAGGTAAAGACACTCACTATGAGGGAATCCTTGACAGGAATTCTTCACAGTATGGTTCAATTCAAAGCTGACCATATGACCAAACTGTGAAGGCATAAAATGTGAACAGTATGTCAGGGTTAACCATCTGAACCCAAAAGCCAACCAGTGGGATTGAAAGGGTCTGTTTTCTTTTCTTTCTTTCTTTCTTTCTTTTTAAATGACACCATTTGTGAGAGCAAGAAAGTGCAGAAATGGTGTTTTCCCACATCCTGGCTTGTTAGACCGTTGGTCAGAGCGCAGGGTCAGCCACACAAGAGCCTGGAGCAGATAGAAGCTCCAAGTCAGCAGCCAAAAACCTCAACCATCAACCAACTACTGCACCCATCCATTAATCATTTGGTCTGATCATCAGAAGATGGTGAGAAATGCTCATCACAGTTTTCCAAATCTCAAACTGACCTCTTATAATATGTTGTTCTGTCTGGCCAACAGTCCAGACATTACTACAAAAAGAGCTGAAGATATGACGTGCAGTGTAGAGTGAAAAACACCAAGTGTGTACAGGTTTTTAAAATGCGTAAATAATCATTCTCATGAAGTTGATCTATAGCATGTAAAGCCATCATTTGTTTGAGGTACTGTGGGGGAAAATGCTGCATGTGTTGAATTGAGTTTTGTAAAACAATTAATCAGACAATGTAAGTTTCTTTTTTGTCTTTTTATGGCATCATAGCTTTGTTATACTGTACAGCAGACAGTTTTAACTTCCTCTTCTTCTGTTCATGGTTGTGCTGTTTGCATAGAGGTGGAGGACTTTAAAAAAATGAGAGGCCACAGTGAGTAAAAATATTAAAGAGTCAATGAACCCACCAGATTGTGCTGTTTTGTCACTTCTACACTCTCAATCAACCTCGTGTTCTTTGATCCACTTTCAGTAAGTAACCCCACAGCTCATGCCTGATCTGTGGCCTTGCTGTTCACCTCTGTGCTGTGACCCTGCACCCATCTGGCTGCCGTCCAGGCCTGCAGCTGTGCAAACAGCAGAGGGCGCTGTAAGCCCGTCCAATCCCTCCTCTCCCCCACTACAGCAGGAAGAGGACACCTCCATCCAACTGCGGTACCCATCTGATTCCTTTAATTGCTTCCTTCCTGCAGTTAATTGGTGCCAATCTGTCTATCATCAAAACCCGAGCTGCGTTACACGGTGAGCTGGAGTTCTTCAACTATTTATTTATTTTTTATTTTTTTTGCGCGCTCGTGTGTGTGTGTGTGTCAGCCTGACCCCACAGTGTGCAGATATTTGGCGTGTCCTTGTTGCAATCACCTGTTCCAGCCAGTTCAGAGCTGTCAGTGGCTGCAGAGGTGAGCTCCTGCACCTGTGAGCGCTGTTGTGAAATCGCAAGCTTTGCATCGATTGTGATCAAAAAGCAAAGCTGTAGTTTAAATAAAATCAAATTTAAAAAAAAATCTTACTTAATGCACTTTTATGTCGCACGTGCGCACCAATCGTGTTGATATTCGCTGCGACACTCTGCGGATCGCACGAGACAGCTGTGTGTTGTTTGTGTATTTCGGGCGGTGTAGTAGTAAAATAACCTAATTATGTGTCACTACTACTCACATTAGTATTTTTTGCATGCAGTCAATGGAAGCGCTACTCTACTATGACCCCTCCCACTTTAAGAGGCGAAGTAGATCCCATGCAAATGTGTGTATTTGCGCGTAAAAGTGGCCAAATATCCTGCTGCATGTGAGTGTGGATCAAACTTTACGCAGCGTACAAAAATGCCCCCGGTGGTAAAAAGCGGGGGGTGTACATTTAGACTGTTCTACATTCTCAGTGAGTGTTTCGCGGGAAAAAAAAAATGCCGAGCGGAGGGACACAGCGGAGGAGGAGTTGGGGGGGAGTGCTGCGGCCGCTTTTATTGCGGCCGGCGGAGCGCTCAGCTGTGATTCTCACGCTGCTCATGACAGACTGTGCGTCGTCGACACACCGGGTCGCTGCTGCAGCCTCTCTGCCCTGCATGCATGCTTCAAAGCCTCTGCAACGCCTCTCTGGAAAGGATTTAATGTTACTGCCGCACTGGAATAACTTTCCTGTCCCCTTTTTTGCGCGCCTCGGGTCGATTGCGCCCCGTCTTGTTTCGCCCGCAGTTTAAAATCTAGCAGGTAAGAAGCACTTGGAGCTGGGTTGGTGCAGGTTCCCCGCTGCAGTTTAGTTTAAAAAGAAAAAAAAAAAGAAAAGAAAGAAAAAACCGGACTTAGTTTGACAGCGAAGGTGGCGTTTAATGCGAGTCGAGCACCTGCTGCAGCAGCAGTGGTGCATGCATGCACGGCGTGCAGACAGGGTCGGTGTTTTGGAGTGAAGCATGTGATGTTGCTTACAGCTGCTCTGCTTTGAAGCCCCGCACCTTTTTTTATTTTTCCTTCTTCTTCTTTTTTAGAAACTAAACTCTTGTTTCTCCTTCAGCTAGCTTCACGATAAGGAGAGAACCAGCGCAGACATCATGCCGCTGAATTCAAGTTTGGCGAGTAAAAACTACGACTATGAGTACGACTCTCTGCAGCCGTATTTCTACTACGATAACGAGGAGGAGGATTTCTACCCTCAGCAGCTTCAGCCTCCGGCACCGAGCGAAGACATCTGGAAGAAATTTGAACTGCTGCCGACCCCTCCCCTCTCCCCGAGCCGCCGGCCGTCCCTGTCCAGCCTCTTCCCCTCCGTCGCCGATCAGCTGGAGATGGTGACCGAGTTCCTGGGCGACGACGTGGTCAACCAGAGCATCATCTGCGACGCCGACTACTCGCAGACCTTCCTCAAGTCTATGATCATCCAGGACTGCATGTGGAGCAGCTTCTCCGCCGCGGCCAAGCTGGAGAAGGTGGTCTCCGAGCGGCTCGCTTCCCTCAACGCGGCGAGGAAGGAGCCGGCGGCCGGCGAGAGCGCGGAGCCCGCCGGTGCTGCCGCCGCCGCAGCTGCCTGGAGGCTAAACAGCAGCTACCTGCAAGACCTGAACACGTCCGCGTCGGAGTGCATCGATCCGTCTGTGGTTTTCCCTTATCCGATCGCCGAGACGCCCAAGCAGAGCGCAGCGTCGCCGCCTAGTAAGGATTTGGGGCTGGACACGCCGCCCAACAGCGGCAGCAGCAGCAGCAGTTGTAGTGACTCAGGTAAGCTGTGAACATGCAGACACACCCCTCTGTGCTCTGTGCAATTAGTAATTTCCCTCTACTCAGTGTGCATGACACAGAGCTCCATCCTGCACCGTTAAACTTCACTGTTCTGAGCAAAACGAGGCTTTACTTCATGTGATCTGCAGTCAGGAGGTAGAGATGTGCTGCCACTTCCAACCATGTCATGCTGTAGACTTGCTGTGAGATTAGCCAGAGGGAAGGGCTGCATGTTAAGCAATCAACTGATGTGGAAGGAGAGTGAGGAAATGGACTGCAGAGATTGAAACCCCCTCCTCCCTTATCCAACTGTGTGACTGATGCCGATTGTTTTTGCTGTTTTCTTGCAGAAGATGAGGATGGAGACGATGACGAGGAAGAGGAAGAGGAGGAGGAGGAGGAGGAGGAAGATGAGGAGGAGATCGACGTGGTGACGGTGGAGAAGAGGCAGGCGGTAAAGCGGTGTGACCCCAGCCCGCCGGAGAACAGGCATCCCAGCCCGCTCGTGCTGAAAAGGTGCCACGTCTCCACCCACCAGCACAATTACGCCGCCCATCCATCCATGAGGCACGAGCAGCCGGCTGTCAAGAGGCTGAAGCTGGAGAGCAGCAGCAGCAGCAGTGGAGCAGCAGCAACAGCAGCAGGAGTAGGAGGAGGCAGCAGTGGCCACAGCAGGGTCCTCAAACAGATCAGCAGTAACCGCAAGTGTTCGAGCCCCCGGACGTCCGACACGGAGGACTATGACAAGAGAAGGACTCATAACGTGCTGGAGCGCCAGAGGAGGAACGAGCTCAAGCTGAGCTTCTTCGCCCTGCGGGACGAGATCCCCGAGGTGGCCAACAACGAGAAGGCGGCCAAAGTGGTGATCCTGAAGAAGGCCACAGAGTGCATTTACAGCATGCAGACGGACGAACAGAGACTCCTCTCACTCAAAGAGCAGCTGAGGAGGAAAAGTGAACTTTTAAAGCAGAGACTCGCACAGCTGCAGAGCTCTCGCGCTTAAAGTTTGAATCATAGACTTTTTTTGGCCTTTTTTTTTTTGTTTTGTTTTTTTATGCAAGTTCAAGACTTTAGGGTGTACAGTTGTTGTTGCATGTAAATGCAAAATGGATAAAGTTGTTTGGAATCTTGCTTGATTTCAATGTTGAAACTGCCTCAACTGAAGTTATGGGTGGATTAAATATTTAAAAGTTTATTTTTATTAATAAAATGTTAAAAACGGGGCTATCTTGTTGAGGGCCCACACTAAAATATAAATTTTTATGTTTTGTATATAATTAATATTTCCTAAGAAAATGTATTTTTGGATCTCAATTGTCTGGATGTTCAGACCCAGTGTTTGTTTTTTCCATTATGTTCCTAGATTCTTTTTGAAATATAAAAAAAAAAAATGTTACTTCTTGAAGTTGTGGCCTTGTTCTTGCAATGAAAAAACTCCATCACAGCATAAACAGACATACACTCACATGGGTGGGGTGGGGTACATGATGCAGTGTGGGTGCAGCCACATAAATGATGCATTACTGGGACAACTGACAAGGACAAGTCATTTTTAGGGGTGATGATGCACAGAAGAGGCACTGAAAGTTAACAGAGAGGGTTTAAACACTACACTTGAACATGCAGTGTCTAGCATATGAACTCATGAAGGAGAAGGTAAGCTAATTTATGCATTAAATAAAGCATTTAAACTCCCACTGTAGAGCTTTTTAACCTGAAGAGAGAAGATTTTCTCATAAACGACACAAAAGTGAAGAAAATTCACTTATTTCGTGGTCATGAAAGGGAAATACGCCACCTGAAATGCTTCATAAACTCAATTTAAATCCAATCTATGTCATGATTTTGACAGTTTTGGGAGGATTGTGCACTGAAAGCTTGGAAACTAGAGTAGAATTAGTTGCATGCTTTGAGAAAAATGGCTGATGAGGTTGGTTCTTTAGATTATTCACTTGGTGTAGTGCAAGAAAATAGCAATCACCTTCATTAAAGTTGCTATTAACACAGTCTAAACGTGTATTTTTCAGCAGAAAGTACCATTTTCTGTGATATATTAGAAAGAAAACCCATAAAAGGGTAAAAAAAATAACATTCTAAATAATAATAGAAAATAATAAACAATAGCAAATAAATCACAACAAATAAACTTCCCAGCTGATTCAAACAGAGCTAATTCTATCATATGCTTGCTGTCACATATGCGGATATGATTGATCAATCTGGGTTATTATTGATTCCGTATCGAGTTTTCCAGTCTAGCCGTGACGTCACGCGCTGTATCCCGAGCGCTCCCCTGAGCGCGTGGTCCTGGTCGCGAGCACATGGAAGTGAGGTCGAGATTTGTGTCTGAGAGACGATCCACGAGAAAAAAAACGGAATATAAACAGCGTAAAGCGGCGGCAGAAGCAGCCCGCATTGCCCGGTAAGAGCTCTTTGTGTGCTGCATTCATCGTTTGCTAAAACTAAACCTTTATTTATCTGCACACGCAGCCCTGATGGGACTAAAACAGCAAAGTGGATCTCTTTTATCTCCCTGTCTGTCTCATGAAAACTTCCATTGAATCGTAACCGTGGAGGTGATGTGGCGTTTGCATCGGTTTAAATGTGCCTGGAAAACTATTGTTCTCAGGACAAGTGTGATTTTGTGTCTGGCTTCGCTATTGTCTGTCCAACTCCTGCTTTTAATGCTGCAGAGTTGGGAGCTGGAGGTGTTTAAAAAGCACGTGTTCTCTCAGCCTATTGTTGCTTCAGGTGACCAGATGCCTTCTTTATGTTCTGTGTTAAAGCTCACGTTGTAGGAGAAGCTGCTGCTGCTGCTTCATGCATGGCTTTATGTCTGCTGTCAGTGTGATAGTGCAGTTAACATGATCAGGAGAGAAGATAACAAAAGGCATCAAGTCATGCACAGAGTTCACAGGCTGCTGGATGCATGGCGTGGAGCTCGCTTTTGTGCAGCAAACAGCATTTCTGTTTTATTTTCCTTGTTTGTGGATAAATACGGTTTAAGATGGTGGAGCAGAGGCATGTGGTGCAGCCACACTGAGACATGGGAGCACCACAAAAGATGGGATTAGTGTGGCTTCATTGTGTGGACTTTCTGTGTGGGCAGGGCGACAGAGAGGCAGCAGTGAAAGTGTGCTGACCTGACGCTGCATGTTTAAGTCCTGCTGTACAGAGAAACACCAAATCTGTGTTTGGAGGAGGAGTTCTGAGGTCTGGCTGGTGGTTTACAGGTGTTAGCCGACATGTAGGACACACGGATAGAACTGGGCTAAGTTTGGTTTTTGTTTCTCCATCTCTTGCTTCCAAAAAGGTGCCAATTAAACCACATTTCTGTGGCTGCACGTGCGCTGAGGTTCAGCCCAGTTTTATTTCACCCTGATGTGAGTTCATCTGCAAATCACAAAAATCAGGTCCACACAGGGGAATCATCGCAAACATTAAGGGACTCTGCATTCATGAGACAGGTGCATATGAGGAGCTTTTGTAAAAGTTTCAAATGCGCTCATACACACTGTCTGATTTGCAAAAAATACACGTATTTGGTTCGGTGGTAGTCATTCATCAAGCGATCTTAAATCCAGATGGGGACCTGGTCATATTATGTCATATTAATGGGGCAGTTAGAGCCACCTGATATTTAATATGGCTTCCCTTTGCACCAAACCGTCTGCCAGTTTACAACTGAAATGTCACAAACAAATCTATTTTTAAAAGATGTTCAGGAGTCTGTTTGAAACTGTATGGAGTTATCATCCAGGATTAAAACTGAACAACACTAAACGTTGTGCATTCATCGGGTTTCTCAACATTCTCAGTTCCTCGTCAATATTTCCAAATAATTCTCGGTTTGAATGCAGCTTTTTAACTTGTCACTGCTTCCTCTCATGTACAAGCAGTAGATCTGAGTCCCAAAGCTACAAGCGTCCCATTTGTCCTAAAGATATAAGTTTGGATGTTTGTAAACCCCACAAAGTTGTTTAATAGCAGTTGTGTCTGCTCTCCAGGGGTTATAAGAATGCTCAAACACTCTTTTAATCATAAAGATTAAACAATGAATCTGCTGCACAATAGAAAAGATAATTAACTCGTGTCCCAAGAGCTGCTCGGTTTCCTGTCCAGGATTTTCAAACTTCTGAAGCCAGGAAAAAACTTTTATATTGTAATCTTTGATCATCCATGTGATCAGATGGTTTTCGTCTCACAACTCAGCAGCCATCTTGGAAACACCCTTGGAGAGCTATTTTGGGCCAACAAGATCGGACTCTTATCTGAATGAATGGGAAAACAGACATAAGTGTAATTTCAGTGGTCTTGGGGACATAAAAGAGCATGTCTACTTGTCAACTCTGCTTAAAAAAGTTTGGTTACTTTGCCCCTAAATAGGTTTTAAAAGTTGTTTTCCTCCACATGGTTGTACTCCCACTACGCATGCGCTCATAACCAGTTTCTGTGACTAATCCTACCAGAGCACTCACAATAATTGTCATTGTAGATATAATAAGCCAAGAAAAACTCTGTTATTTCTATTTATTTGAAACAGCAGACTTGTTTGAGATGAGCTGCAGATTCGATCACAGGACTGGATAGATTTCTACCAGACTTTAGGTGGTAGGGATTGGCTTGGCATCTCTAGATCTAAGGCCGTGGATTACTCCCTCAGGGTTGGGGGTGAATTGCTGCACCACAGTTTAAGTATCTCAGGATCTTTTTTTTTTTTTTTTTTTACAAGTAGTAGGGGAAAAAAAAGGAGCACAAGATGGACAGATGGAAGTCAGCAGTAATGCAAATGTTGTACCACCCCATTGTAGTGAGGAGGGAGCTGAACTGGAAGGTGACGCTCCTGATTTACCAGCAGATCTGCATTTCAGTCTTCACTTGTGGTAATGAGCTTTTGATCACGAGATAGGCTGAGGAGCTCGGACGTCCAGAGGGAGCTCAGTAGAATTCCTTCATATCAAAAGGAGCCAGCTGGAATCTGATGTGGATGCCTCCAGGACGACTTCCTTTGGAGGTTTACCATTTACGTCCAACCTGGGGGTAGACCCAGAACTCGCTGGACCGCATGTCTCGTCTGGCCTGGGAACACCTCAGGATCTACCAGAGAGAGAGACGTCTGGAATGTCCTGCTTAGTCTGCTGCCACCACCCCAACCTGAATCTGGATAAGAGGAAGAAAATGGATTGATACCATCTTGGGCTGATGTCATGCAAACGTAGGCAACAATAACATCACAAGTTAAAGGTGGCGGCAGTTCTCTCAGCTGATCTCATGGCTGATTGGTGTGGATAGAAACTTCTAACGGTTTATACGTATTTGTAGCTTCATTCCGTGAACAGAACACGTATTATGCGGTCGATGGTGCCGTTTATTAGTCAGAGGCTGAATACCTTCAGGTTATGGGTCAGCGTCTGCACCCAACAGATCAC